ATTATTATTATTATTATTATTATTATTATTATTATTATTATTATTATTATTATTATTATTATTATTATTATTATTATTATTATTATTATTATTATTATTATTATTATTATTATTATTATTATTATTATTATTATTATTATTATTATTATTATTATTATTATTATTATTATTATTATTATTATTATTATTATTATTATTATTATTATTATTATTATTATTATTATTAATAATCTGTTTTCATCTATACACAAAAAAATATTTAGCTTCACATATAATTTCAAACACCACAAAGGTGAAACTGTATACTTGTATCTTTAAAGTCTGGTGAAATATGTTACGTTTCTGTTGCAGAGATGGAAGAAATCGATGGTAAATATGATGACATCACAGCAAGTATAGATCTCTGTGATGCCTCCAGGCTCTCAGTGAACCTAACAAAATTCTCTTTTCATTTTACCTCCGTTTTATTACCATGTGCTGTAATTCTTTTCCGGAGGGGAGGGGGGCAGGGGTGAGCGTCACCCAGCAACAGCACTAACAGGGAATCACATTTAAATGCAATACGTGATTTCATATAAGTAAACAATGCATTTCAACGCATTGTTCTCTGTTCAGAGAAAATAATGAAAAAAACACAAAGTTGGAGTTAAATGCCTATTTCGAAAAAAAAATCCAAAAAATAGCTGAAAGACAGCCCTAATTGTCCCACAAAAATGTAGATCGAAAAAAAACAAACAAATGCAAAACATACTAAAAGAGAAGTATAGCTTGAAAACATGGTCAAAAAGGATATGAAAAACAAAAATATTAAGTAATCACGAACTTTTACTGGAAAATCTCCAGGAAAAAGGCTTGAAGGAAACAAATGTTGGAAGTTAGCCTTCATTACCTTAGTACCTAACAAACGGATAGAATTAGCAGCACAGTGCTAAACATGCTAAAGAAATTCAGCTTTCGTGCAGCACCAAACTCTTTTTCTGACCGAAGACCAGGCGGTACGCGTGGTGGTGTTAATATTTGAAAAAGATCTCAGGTACATGTATTTAAAAAATGTGCCGCGAGAAGTCACGAAATAATCTCGACTGCCAGGATGAAGAGGAAAAAGCAATTTTTCACGGCATAATATTACTAAGTTACAGTACTAAAAAAATTGCCAAAAATAAAAAAAGACAAAAAGACAAAAAAAAAAATATCATAGTAGTACATTAAAATGCACATGTATTGGAATATTGATATTGACAATGACAGTTGTTGCTCCATCAGTAAACTACGTGGTTAATTCCTCTTTTGTTCAGACTCATTTCAGTGACACCACCTGACCACAGGAGGCAGCAAACCCACTAAAAAAAGGAAAAATGTTCAATGTCTTTTTAAAGTGAAACAGGAATACCAGGAGTTAGCTAAAAATGCTAAGTTAAGTTAAACAAAACGGTTTTTTTTTTCAATGTTTGCACCAGTACTTTATTCAGTATTCGGCTTTATCTTTGACAAACTTCAATGTATCCAAACTTCA